CCAGCTCTGCAGTTCTGATACCTGGATATGTACAAACACAGTTTTAGAAGCAGAAAGACTTTTAGAACTAACTAGAAGAATGTAACCTGTATTAGTTTAAGGTTTTTCTTGTCTCTGGCCGTTGGTTTTGTCTCTGTCACCTCCTTGGCCTGTGGAGGGGAATTTTTCTTTGGAGCATTTGTGCTCAGTGGTGCGCTGGGCTGAGGAGGTGACAAAGAGGGGGGAAGAGGATAATCTCTCATATGTAGGACGCTTTGCAACAGGAGCAGCCCACTCAGAAAGATATAAGGGAGCCCCTTGAGTTCATAAATTCCAAAACCCACATGATTTATGGGGTTTTGAAGCCTCCTCGCCAGTGCTTCTTCCCCAAGAGTATTATAAAGTCTTCATAGCAGCACTGATGGAGAGTAAAGGAACAGAGGAGATCAGGCATAAGGAGGCAGGGACCAGTAAGCCGATTCTGTCTGAAACTTTAGAATATATCTCGCCTCCTGCTTCATCCCACCAGCTCCACTGCCAGATGATGGGAATCCAGCAGTCCCTGTGGCGCAACTGCCCGTGGCCCCTGTGGTGCAAATGCCACCAGCATGTGGCACAAGTACCAGCCTCTTCTGTAGTGGAACTGCCGGCTGTTTCTGTGGCACAACCACTAGAAATCCCTATGGTGCAGCCACTAGTAGCTCCTGTGGCAGTCCCACAAGATCAAATTGTAGTACTGTAAGCCCGCAGTCCCCATGGCCCTCAATTCAATGGACGGGGGGTGGCACCATTAAAACCCTATTAAGGTATTTTACATATGATCAAATAAATCTTTCTTAATGTGTGATATGTACAACTGGCTAAAAGCTAATTGTATGGATCAGACATTACTTGAAAACCAACTTTGATTAAAAGGATTACCTTTCCAATATGGAGTGTGACTCTAGAGATAGGGCTACCCCACAGTAGCAGTGCTGAGAAATCAAGAAATGCTCAGCACTGAGAGGATTTTCCAGTCAGATGCCTCGTCCTCCATTTGGGTTCAACATTAGTATTGTGGGAAATTTTGCTTCTGGACCCAAACCCACTCTACAAAAGCTCTCTACACTCCAGAAAATTTAGCAGAATTTCAGGATATGCTAGGATACAGGTTTCTTTTGGATGTCATGGTACTCCACTGGCATGTACTTCTGTTCCAATATAGCAACAGAAATGATTAGTTGCATAATTTCTGCAACTGGATGAGCCTTGTATACTACTCCATACATGTCTCCATATCTGTCTCAGCTTATACCAGTGAGGGCTACAAGCTTGGATGGTGTTAGGTGCAATCATGGAGATGCGTTCATGGAGAATAAGTCCATTGCTTAATGGTTTATACTCACACTGGCTATGTGAACAACCACCAGCTTTGAGAGCCAACATGCCTCTGTAAAAACAGTTGCCTGATAAGTTTTTGACCTCCTAAGCTTGTGATTTTTCCAAAGCTTCTGACCAGCCACTGTGGAAAACAGGATGTTGGACTAAACAGATTTTTGGTCTGGACTGCAGCTTGGAAAATTAATTTTTAAGAGTACAACTCCTAAAACATTCTTTCAGATTCTAAGAGCCATAGTCCAAAAAAGTAACTTTTCCCAAGCTCTGATATGACCCAGACAGGCTCTTATATATTCTGCGTATAGAAAGACATGCTATTTCAGCTGAATAGCAGCACTGTGTTCTTCTCCTGTGCCCCACCAATACCCCCTTGCCAATACCTCGGTTGGAGTTTGCCACAAAAGACCTTGTGAAAGGAGACCATCATCTTCTAACTAATGTATCCTTGCAGCTATTTCCAGCTTACACAAAAGGTAAATGGTCTGGGTAAGAAAGGATTCAAGAAATGCTTTTCTCGGGAAAATAATGCATTTATTCCAGCAGAGGAGCCTATAGCAACAAGACCAATGCAGATTCTGCGCAGCATAAACAGAAGGTTAATTATTTTTATGCCTCTCCTTGCCTCACTCCTCCTTTTACCTCGGGGAAAGGAAGGCATGAAAAGCATTGCACACATGCTATCCATTATGTGGGATACATTGGGAAGGAACATTCATCTGCATCCAAGCAGTTCTAATGCCAAAAGAATTTGTGATGCAATCATTTTGTAGAAATATTGTGAGAGTCATCATAATTTGTATTTGAGAGCTTGTGTCCCAGGGCTCAATAGCATATGTTCACATAGACAATTATTCTAATCTCAGTTTGCTAATGCTTTCTAAAAACCAGTGGATTACCATTAAATCACCAGAGACTTCTAAAAACAACAACAAACCTCCCACAACCCTATAATGTAGTCTCCACTGAATTTTGTTCAACTGAGTCTCTTAAATCAAATAGGTAGGGAAAGGGTGGCCAGGGATCCTTGTGCCTTGTGCATGGGCTATAGATATACAGTATTGGCAGAATTCACTGTAAGTAGATTGACAGAAACGTTAGAAGGGAGGCACGGGAAAAACACACTGTATACTGCACTGTGACCAATACCCTGAAAGGAGGGAAAGCATGAAGCCATTGCACTGATTCTGTGCAGCATTAATCAGCACAGCAACAGCTGGAGGGAAGTATATACAGCTTCTATCTTCTTGACAAATCCCTGTGGAGCAGCTCATGTCTCCCGTAGCAACTGACTGAGGGCCTCCCTGGAAAGGCCTGTTTCTCACACTAATATTGTTCTGAAAAACGAGTTAACTAATAAGCAAATGCTTATTGGGTAAATGGAGCTCAGGCTTCTGGAGTCCACTTTCTTTCTTATTAGAATGCCAAGATCCAGTAAGCACAGCTTGCTTGGTGCTGAAGTCACAGCATTTGTTTTGAGTCTCAGTGCTAAATGAAGGTCACAGTCCTTCTCTACAAAAACCCAGTCCTGGCTGCTCATGCCTCCCTCTCTCCCTTCCAGACACATACTTTCATTTCAGCAATACAATTTAGGATATAAGGAAATCATTTTGTTCATGCTATTGTTAAAGAACTGGGAAGCAGAAGCATTTGCCTATCTACTGTGTATCACTATGGGCCAGTCACAAGGAATACTTCCCAGTGTCTAGTTTTACCTGATTTGCTACAGATATATTCAGTGATTCCAGTATACCACTTGTCCCTATAGAAGGTCACTGAGCCACTGCATGGCACTCACAAGAAACACCAACAATATTGGTTAACACATTTCCTTTTCCCCTGTACCTTGAAGATTTGTGATATTATTGATCAAAATAATACCATTCCTGTTGGCCATTCTTCTTGTGATAAGTCCCTCCATTCCTGGCTAGGCTGGTCATCATATGACAGATACACAGCCTGCCTGTCTGGAACTGTACTTGAAGCTTCACCCACTTATATTCCACTGGCATAGCCTTTTGAGAACCCAGGGACACTTCTACATCTGCTTTGGTACTTGTCTGCTGAGTTTGTGTTTAATTGATTGAGCATCAATGGCTATCAGGGATGTGTTGGCACTGTGGGCTAAACTGCAGAAGCCTGTGCTGCAGGGTCAGAAGACCAGCAGTTGTAAGATCGAATCCACACGACGGAGTGAGCGCCCGTCACTTTGTCCCAGTTCCTCGCCAACCTAGCAGTTCGAAAGCATGCAAATGTGAGTAGATAAATAGGTACCGCCTCGGTGGAATGGTAAAATAGCATTCCCTAGTCATGCCGGCCATGTGGCAACGGAAACTGTCTTTGGACAAGTGCTGTCTCTACGGCTTGAAAACAGGATGAGCACCCCTTAGAGTCAGACACAACTGGACTAAAAATGTCAAGGGGAACCTCTAAATGGCTATCAAGCACTAACGTCTTTCTTTTTGTTTGTTAAGAGCTAAAAGATTATTTCTCAGCTGGCAAAGTTGGCTTGAAGATGCTATGTAACAGATCTATTACATTCACCAGTCCAAGGTGGATTAAAAGCTACACACTCCCTGATCTGTAATGTTTTTCTGCCATCATCTAGCTTAGATCCTCCTTCACTAGTGAGTTGTAAGAAGCCCACATCCTTTAGAGATGTTAGCCTAGGATTTGGGACATAGCCAGCTGATTCCTAAATTGCTGCTTAAAGAAAGATTCAACTTGTCTTCCCATTTTTGCTAAAAAAAAATGTGTCATACAGCCTAAACTGCTGGGGTTGTGATAACCATCCATTAAGGTGTTCCAAATTAATCAATTGATTTCCAAGGTCCAAATTGGAGATCATTTAAAAAAGAAGAAGAAAGGAAGGAAGGAAATAAAAAAATAAAAAATGAAGAAAGAAACAAACTAAAATAAACACAAAAAGATCTTTTGTCTAACCTAAACATGCACAATACATATGCCTACTTGAATGCCAGATTGCATAGGTTCCCAGAAGAGGCCAATGCTAATACAAGGCACTAGGGCAGGGTATTTAGGCTTGAGTATTTACAGGTTAGCAATCATTGTGGTTATCACAGATAAGCAGAAGGGTGAAGTATAAATCTTGAGTCAGAAAAGTATTGTAGCCTCATCCTGTGGATTCGCAGATTATGCACAACATGCAGCAGGGAGAAACAGAGTTCTAGATTCAAAGCTTTTAAAGAGACAAGCAAATCAGCACAAAATCAGCACAAAAACTTGGTTATCAAAACTTAATCGCTGGTATCTACTTGCTAACAATTGCACATACCTATATGGAAACAATTTTAGACTATAACCAGTGAAGGCAACAAATGTCAAGTTTTTATAGGTGGCCATCAAGACAGAGAGCATTCTGTTTACTTCAGAGAGGAGAAGAACTGATAGCTGTAAAGACTAGTGGCAAATAATAATAATAAAATTAAAATACCTTTTATTGAATTCACAAAGCAAATTGTGTGAGTTTACAATTGCTGTGCTATAGATTTTAATTGGGGGCTGGTCTGATTTCTGCTCCAGTATCACAGAAAACGAGGTGAGATATAACAGCTTAAATCCCCTGACTTTTTAAAAAAGACTCTTGCTAGAATACATGCAGAATTGTTGTCCATGGGAGTAAGACAATATTCCAAACCTTGTTAAGCATTCCTGCAGGTCATTTATCAATGTCACACGGAGGAAAAGAACATCCCTGCAGCTGCTCAGTCACTGATGCCGGCAGCAGAATCCTATATATGCAGCAATAAGACCTTGGCTCAAAAATGCCCGGAGCTGTTAAATATCCTGTTTCTATTCTGCAGTGGAAGTAGCTTGAAAAAAATTCAGCCACAGAATCTTTACTGGGCTTCAGTGTAGTTTGACCTCTTGAAGCTGTTAGAGAAGAGAGAGAGGCTTAATGGAGAAGTGTCTTTTGGCAAACAAAGTATATAACAACATGCTTTGTGGTTTAGGGGTGAAATAAGCCTTAAAGCTAGAGATCTAGAGACTATTATTATAAACAGCTGGTGACAGTGATCTTATGAAATCACACAGGAGAGTAGAGTGACAATAAGAATTCTTCTGGGACTGAGAAATACTCCTATAAATGTTGCTACATTGAGTTCAGGTCTCACAGGGATTTTCTAAAAAATGAATGTGCATTATTTTGTGCATTGCTTAGGCATATTATTTAATTGAAATAATAATTATGAATATTTACATCTCAAAAGGACAACATTTTTTGTCTCTTTCTAATCAAGTTTAAGGTCATGCTGAAAAACTGTTATACAGTAGCCCTTGATCCCTTACTCAAGTGCAAAGCACTCCAAATGATTACTTTGGCATTGTCTGCGATTATCAAATGTGCTGATCTACTACAGGGCCAGACACCTTTTGATTGAGTCGTCTTTAGTGAGGCACAGAAGACTTCTTCCTCTGCCTGCCTTTGGGACAAAGCTCCCCACCCTCGATTTTTTGTACTGTACATATCCAGCCAGTCAGTCTTTTCCTCTTTTCTGCAGAAGCATTCAGGTGAGCCATGGACCTAAAGGGACTGGAGTGCTGGTTCTGTGGTGTGAAAATGAGACTCTCTGATTCTTTTTGACACCATTATTTTAAGCCTCTGCAAACATGAGAGAGAAAGAGAGAGATGTGGATGACAACGCTTGAAATTAGGTCTGTGTTGTTAGATTGGCAGGGGGAAAGGTTAAAATCCTTTAGGTTACGACAGCTTTGTCCAGTATTATTATTCAGTGCATCACCTTTTTTAAAAATGGGAGGGAAATGTAGGCAGGAGAAATGATGCCACAAAGTTGATCACAGCAGCGGTGCTAGAAGTGCCAATAACTAACCTTTTCCCTAAAGCTTATTTTTAAAAAGACAATTGAAGCCTCATACCTACAGTAGTCTTTCTGTGATTCTCCCTTGAGTAGGAGAAGGAGCACAGCTGGGAGGGGGCATTTTGATTGTTAGCTAAACTTTGGCCAGCCCTCTCCAATGTGGCTGCTGCAACTCTCAGCTTTGCTGTTCTCCCAGCCCCATTCCCCTGATCATCAATGTGCATACATACAAATATTCCATAAGGGTGTAATTTAAGCATTTGGAATGCTAAATAATACCTTAAAATACTGCAGTGGAAAATTTAAAATATCCAACTTTCATGTCTGGCCACTTTCGATCAAGAGATTTTGATTCCACCCTGGACCTCCCCACTCAGATTACAAGGATGGTTGTTCTTAATAAAGTGCTGTCTCAGATCACCTCATAAGTGAATCCAGGCACTAAATCTTCATACAGATATCCTTTGCCTCCTTAGCATGGATGACTGTACCTTGCATATCCATACTGGTAGCTGGTTGGGCAGTGTGTGCAAATTTAGCTGGTGATCAATTGGGAGGTGGTGGATCTTCATCTCAATGTTCAAAACATTATCTTGTTCTTACACTACTTTTGACTGCCACCAGAAAATCTCCCAAGAATGGGATAACCCAAACAGGCACACCGATGCAGGAATACATGTTCGCACATACATCATTGAGTTTGATCTACTGTTAAAACTCCCCCACCCCCACCCCAATAACTGACACCAGGCAACTTTGGATCACAATTGTACCCATTTTCTTTTGTTGTGTTTTGGGCATTACATTAGAAATCTTTTAAAGGAAAAAAATAAGTAAAAATAAACATGTTCCAAGACAGAAAAGCACAGAATTATATATGCTGAGTTATATAATATCTTCATATGTTTGTGTTGTTTAAACGATTCCCCTTCTTGCAGTGAAAGGAAGAAAAAGATAGGCAGAAGAGATCTCCACAAAAGGCTCCACCTTTTCTGGCTGTTCACAACTTTTCAAGTCTGGTCTTGGTCATGCCTCATCAAGCCTTGCCTTGGCAGATCAAAGTGCTAGGAACTAGTGTACTAATTGCAGCTGAAAGCTAAGAATGTTCCTGGAAGGCCTAGTACCAAGTACTGTAGTGCTGAGGGAGAGATGCGGAACATAACACAACACCCAACATAAAGATCTCAAGGGGAGTTACATTAAGGAAGAATTTGGAAGGGAAACCTGTAAACACTGTCTTAATACTTCAGTCAACCTCCCTGCAGGAAGGTGCAGTCCCCCAGTGGGTATGGGGTGAACTATAAAGTCCTCCTTCTCCCAAAGTTCCTCAGTCCTTTTATGCACATCTCACAGGGGCCATATCCAATGAATTAACTTAATAAGCCCTGGTCCCATTTGGGAATCAAAGGTGTCAAAGCCACCACACACAATAAAACCAAGCTACCTTCCTTTCCTTCTTCCTTCCTCTAGCCTTCTTTCTCCTGTCGTTCACCCTGGGATTTGTCTCTCCAAAGGCAGAGCTGGGAAAGCTTAGCAAATCCCTGAGTCTTTGGCCGGCATCCCGAGATCTGACAATTCTGTGTGAACTCCAAACGTGAGCAAGTACTTTTTTTAACCGGCAGAGTGGGACAGATCATTGATTCAAAAAGTCTGTTTGTTGTTGCCAGACTTAGTAATTTGGTAACTTGACAAATGCTATGTTCATCATTTTAAAATACAACTACATTGTGGGGGAGGGGGGAAATAGTGGTGGGCTATGATCACAGGCAGAACGATTTTTAAACTAATGACTTAGTGGCCCAACAATTGACAGGGAATTTATCAGTAACAAGCTACAGAGTTTCATTTTATTTGGAGAACAAAAACTATCACCTTTTCTTACCTGGACCACATGAGAATACTAATCCTTATATACAGGCACGCAGAACCTGTCTGTTAGTACTGAATTTGGCTCTATCAGAGTGCCTAACTAATGATACACATTTCTGATTTTGGGATGAGAGCAGTTAAATTAAGTAATCTAAAAGGAGAGTGGATACTGCCATATACAGATGGGAAGGGTCAAATACCCCCACCCTCTCTGCTTATTACTTTAGGACATATATTTAAGACATGTTTTGAACTGTTTGGTAAGTGGGTGAGGAGAGAAGTGAAATCCTCTTGCTTTTAGTTCACAATAAAGTGGCATCTAACAGAAGACTCCAGAAGACAGCTGCAAGTAAATAAAGCCAAATAGTTTTACTTACAGCACTAAAGTATTTAAAACATACATGTAATTAGAAAAAAAAATAGATCAACATGGAAGGATAGCTTCCATATAAACAGTGGAATTCATATGAGTAAGAATGGGTGCATGCGTTAATTATAATGGATAAAAACTTTCAAGCTGAGGGGGCCCTGGTCAAAATAGCCTCTAAAAGGGTTTGTTTGTTTATTTATTTGATTTCTATGCTGCCTTTCAGAGAGGGTGTTTGGGAGCAATTGTATTCACAGCCCAGGCCACCTTGGTATGCCACCTGGTAACCTGAGCTTTGACGGCATGGCTAGCCACATCCACCAGATAGCCTCCCAAGGCCTCCCTGAATCTATTTGGGTCAAAAAGCCTTCAAATGGTGGACCATTTTAACAGATCTGATCTTCCTGTGGGGAGGGCTCATAGGCGACAGAATGAATTTAAGCAGAAAGTGGTCTATCTAGAAGAGCGGGAGGAGGCTGATATTCTCCGCCCTCAGACCATTCTCCATCTGTGCCACTGAGAACATCAGGTGTGGCTGTCAATGCATCTTCTGAACCAATGTCTTCTCTTCGTTCAGATGACACAGGTTCTAGGGAGGTCACTATTTAGGAAGCTATCTGTTTCTGAAGGAACTAGAAAAGATCATAAAGTATAAGGATATATAACTGGAGATCAAGACCAAGATCATCCTCAATCTTGTATTTCTGATCACTATGTATGGGTGTGAAAACGGGACAGTAAAAAGAGATGATAGGAAAAAAAACCCTGACTCATTTGAAATGTGCTGGAGGAGAGTTTTGTGGATGCCCTGGACTGCCAGAAAGACAAACAAGTGGGTCTAGAGCAAATCTAGCCTGAACTATCTCACGGAGAAAGGCAGGGTAAAGGATAAAAATATTTTCAATCAATCAATCAATCAACCAATCAATCAATATCTGGAGGCAAAAATGTAAAAGCTGAGGCTGTCCTACTTTGGGGACATCATGAAAAGACAGGATTCTCTGGAAAATATTATGCTAGGAAAGATGTAAGGCAGCAGGAAAAGAGGAAGACCAAATCTAAGATGCACAGACTCCCTAAAGGAAGCCAAAGGCCTGAGTTTGAGCTGAGCAGGGCAGTTGAGGACAGAACATTTTGGAGATCGCACATTCATAGGGTTGCCATAAATTGGAGTTGACTTGTGAGCACAATAACAACAATTCTGTTTCTTTTATTAAAAAATTCTCGTATTTAGAGGCACAGTCTGCACATATCACTAGGGCTGGCAAATGATCTGAGATGGCATAAAAACCCTGAGTCAAGCTGTTCTATGCTGAAAAGTAACTATCCTGCATGACAGTATAAAGACACACTACCTGGATCATCCCTGAGGAGAAAACAATGATAATACAAATCAGGCTTGCAACTCTGCCAGCCATATGAGCAAAATAAGACTCAGAGAGCCATAAGAAAACAAACACAATTATTCTACACTATTCTGAACAGAATTGTGCTAACCTGATTTTGAAAGCTCATCAGGATTGGTCCTGGTTAGCACCTGGATGAAAAACCACCAGAAAATCCTAGAGCTCTCTAGGTAGGACAAGGAAGGAATCTTGCCTGAAGCCCTGAAGTGCCGCCGCCAATCGGTGGTGGCAATATTGAAGCCAGAAACAGAGAGTGGAGATAGCCTATGATAGGAAGAGTAAAAATCCTAACTGCTGAAAGTGTCTGAGTGTTAACAGCACTTTTCCCCCCAGCTCTTGGAATATGCATATTAGTTTGCTTTTTCCCCTCTAGACTTAAGCAGGGGATTCCTTTGAGACTCCAGTAGCACCTTTAAGACAAGAAAGTTTTATTTGGCATACACTTTCATAGAGTGCAACCCACTTTGAAGTCTGGTTTCACAAACTGAAAAACTACTCAATCACCCCTCTGCAACATTCACGTGACTTCAGCTCTAATTAAGGGTCGTCTCTAATGCCTGTTTCTCTCCTGAGCTATATGGGCCAATGCCCTGGCTCCGTATGAGACAGCTTTCCATGCTTACTTGAAGATACATGTTGTTGTTGTTATGCCGCATTTCTCCCAACAAGGGACCCAAGGTTGCTCCTTCCCCTGTCCTTTTTTCAATTCACAAAGTGCCACATACCAAAGTTACACAAGCACATTCAGTTTTGTCCTCCTAACTATGAAACTTTTAACCGATGCATAGTTCAAGCTCAAGTCACAGGAACCAGACAGCTGTGCCTCATGTTCCGAAAGCTCTGTGTAAATAGAGCCATTATATAATGTTAACTTTTCAGTTTTTCTGCGCAGAGTCAGGAGTCTCTTACTAGGTTATATACTTCTTTTTGATCTTTCGGATAAGTGTGTTGTTTAACTCTCATGGATTATTAATGTGTGAGAGCTCCTTCACACAACTAAACCATCATATATAACTGTACCTAGCAGATCACATAAATGTGGGAGCTGACATGCGTTACCTTGTTTCATACATTAGAAAGTACTTCTGTGGAAAGAGTAAAATCAAAATTCTCACTTCATAAAATCACCACTTTAGGTAACCTGCTGTTCTCCAGCACCCTGGGAGATGCACCTACTGGGACTATGACAGACATGTTTCTAGTAGCTGTAACAAATTCTAGTATAAAATTGCTCTGTTGCTAAAAGGTGGAAGTCTTGAATTGCATTTAAAAAACAAAAGGAGCGAGTGTAGTCTCAATAGGAAAGAAGCAACAGAACTCCAATCCTGAAGCATTGTTACCTGTGCCAATCATGGTGTTAAATTTACATATTTACTCATAAGTTATACATCACCTTGCTCCCCATAGGGGACCCAAGATGTCTTAAAACAATTAAAATTGTACATAAATAACACATTTAAAATATTGTACAAAACTATACTTTAAAAACTCAAACATTAATCAATATTAAAAATAATTCTAAAAACATTTTAAAACATTTAAAAATATCCAAAATTCATAAATAGAATGTTCCCTAGACCCCCACCTATTGCCTAAAAGCCTGCCTGAAAAGGAAGGTATTTTTATCTGATGACAGAAAGATAAGAGGGAAGGGGCCAACCTGGCTTCTTGCAGCAGTGCATTTCAAAGCATGGGAGCAACCACTAAGAAGGCCCTCTCTGATGTGGTCAACCAATGCCTCTTCTGTAGCCACCAGACCCCTGGAGCTCCCACAGGTTCTCCATCACAAAATTAGGGTGGCAGACCAAAAGTCTCAACATCAGAAGCCTCCAAGGGAGGCAAGTCTCCTATTAACTGTTCTCCCTCTCCACTCCCAGTCTTGTTTTGGCAAGAATTACCATTGCCCGCCCAGCCCAGAATAACGAAACAGACACAGAGGTATGGGATAACTAGGGACACAACTTTTTAAACTTATTTATAGCCAAACTTCCCCTTTACAAGGGGGCCTAATGTAGTGTCTGAAACTGGTCTATAGCCGGAGTCAGCCTTGACCCTCAAGCCCAGACCACCAATCAAGTTCCTATAACAAAAGTGCACTGTCTTACTGTACAGCACGTTTCCGTGAATCACCTGGCTGTGGCACCCCAAGTTTACTGGGTCTCCAAACCCAAGCTGCTCCACATTCCCTGGGGTCCCTAGCCTCCCTTCCTTTCAACCAAACCTCTGCTGGTGCCCTTCTGAGAGGAGGGGTGCTTAGCACCCTCTAGGTGCCCTCCTAGGAACTGATCTATCCTTCTCCTTTGGAACTCCCCGCTGTTGTAACCTATTTAATGGGACAATTTTAAAGCATAGCCACAAACCGCCCTCGCAGGTAAGAATGAGATGGGCAAAAAAACCACTGGCACTCCTGGCCAATTGAAGTGCCAGCCAAAAATTCCCATCTGGACCCAAAGCAACCAGCCAACCTTACCTTAAAGGGTGGGAGGGTGAGCGAGGAATGGGCAGCCTCCTTAAAGGCTTTGTTGATGCCCAGGCCTTTGTATAATGTGATGTAGCCCACCTGGCTGTGTCCGTCTCTTCTGTTCAGGCAGGCAAAGGAGCCCCGCCCCGGCAGCTCTGCACCTCGCAGAGAGGCACTTATCTGAAAACCAGAAGGGGCCTTCTGCTCAGTTACCATGTAGATATAATGATGAGTATTATGTGTGGTGATCCATGGGTTGTGGAATGTGGGCCCTCAAAACCTTTTGCAATTGCCCATCTGCTCTAAACCATGAGAGTATCAACTTTAAAGCAAACTCCAAAAAAGTGGGGGAAAGTCACCATGGTAGTACCTGCTTGCAGGCGACATCAGCCCACATTTTCATAAGCTGGAGTCTTTTCTTTTGGAGAACTAGCTGGAAGATCCATGTCCTTCTGCAGCAAAGAGAAATACAAGAATCTTTACTTTCATTTCAACTGATCTTTCAGGGCTCAACAGAAAATACCTAAGCATTGTAATAAAAGCTATATTCTTCTTCTATGAATCTCAAATGAAACTCAGATCTCTGCTAAAAAAAAGGAGAGTACACAAACATTTCCATGCTCAACTGTAATAAAGCACACAGCCTCTATGAGATCAGGCAGTACCTTCCTAGCTAGATCTTTGGAAATATCAGACAGTAGCTTGCATTCTCCCTTTGGAAGATAAAGTGAACTCTCTTTTGCTAACAAAAAAAATTAAATAAAAGGTTTTCAGGTAACTGGCTATTGTAGCTGGCTGTGAAGACAGACAAGACAGGGATTCACAAACAGAGTTCTGCAGGGGAGCTTCTTGAGAAGGATTCTGATGACAGTGCCCAGTGCTGTATTATGCAATCTCTTACAGTGCAGTTCTATACAGTTCTACTCAGAAGTAAGCTCAACAGAGTTCAGTGGGACTTATTCCCAGGTAATGCATTCAGGATTGCTGTGAGAATGCCTGTTAAGAGATGTATACACCTCCTCTAAAATTTCTGGAATCTGAGTGAGATAGACCATTGTTTTATTTTAGTAAAGCAAATGTTGTAATCATTACAACAGAGAACACCATTCATACACTGTCAGGGGTACCAGAGATGGAAGATAAGGCAACCTTCAGAGAATTCCTTCCTGAAATACTGTTTGCTTATCACAATTTTTACAGGGAAATAAAAGCCCAATTCTCTCTGGTAGTTATTCTGAAAAGGAACACATTAAGAGGGAGGAGGGAAAGAAAAAGAAAAGCACATTATTTGCCTTAAAGCTTCAGAAGCAGAAGCAGAGGCTCTTAGATGTTTGTGTGTGGGTGTGTTTATCTGTCTATATATACAGTATATGAAATAATATATATACTGTATATATATAATAAAACTTGTGCTCTGTTTTCTTTCTCTTTTCAAAGCACATTTATTACTGTTAGTATTGTTGTTTGGTCATGGTAGAGTGGTTACAGTACAAAACATTTTTTAAGTGAGTTACCAAGAAAGATGACAAAAGAGAATGCAAGACTTCAACAATATTTTCACATGGAAATTTAAATTGATCATCTTGATACTCATATTAATAATTCCTGTTGATAACTTATAGGTTACATTCAGAAAAAGAATACTATAATTTAAATAGTAGCACAATGCACTGATTTCCAAACTAGGAGTAGGAACATGACCCTCTAGGGGCACATGAAGAATTCCAAGTGTAAAGTCAGAAGCTATAAGGTTTCAAGGAAAGAAAAATCTTTTATCAGCTTAAACAACGTTTTTTTAGTTATCCTTACCAGAATTTAGGATTTCTGAAAAGAAAAGGTGCTAATTTCAAAACCTAAAGCATTTGTATTTTGTGGCTGTTTTTACAGTATTTTAAACAGAGGATTGTCCTTTGACAGCCTGCACAATAGAGAACGGTTCACTGTAATGTAGCATATGTGGCTACACTACATTCAGGCCATGTCTCCAGCTGACGAAAAGGCTTCTCATATAGAGTTCATCCCTTTGAAGATATGCTGCTGGCTGGATTACTATCAGAGCACCAGTAGGCTCTCAGCAGGTTTCCCCATCGACAACTACTTATCTGGTTGCTGCTGTTCCTGCAGTAATCCAAGCATCTAGCAGTTCTGAATACATTTTTAATATTGCTGGCCTTTTTTTCCCCAACGACTAGGAAAGTTATGATCTCTCTCCCACTCAGGCAGATGGAAGCTAAGACCAAGAGAAAATGAAACATTCATGGCAATGTTAAGGCAAGAGTGAGGGGAATTAAAAGGGGTTGTGGGGCTGGCTTCTCTCTTCCATAGCTCTTTGTCAGCTGGATGACACCAAGGGGCTTGGCCCTTTCTCCTCCCTCTACCTTCTGTGGTGAAGCATGATAGGAGAAAATTATTCTCAGATGGTGGGTGCTTCAGGAACTCCAGGAAGTTACAGTGGTGAGGCAGCTGAGTTTTCTCTTCCCTTGTACTTTGCTGCAGCTTCTGACTGAGAGTAGGAAATATAATCCTCACAGTTAGCTTCAATTTCTGTGAGGTATTCTTCCTGTCACCATTTACTGGGAGTGAAGGGACCTGGCGCCTCCAGAAGGGCAGATTCCTTCCCTCAGTGGGCAGGATTAGGCCAATGAATTGCACAACCATCATGAGTATGGGACCAGGACCAGCTCCAGTAGTTGGTGCATGTGGGTGTTTCTCAAGAGTTCCAAGACCATCAGAGTATAAGTAAAGGTAAAAGTTCCCCTTGACATTTAGTCCAGTTGTGTCCGGCTCTAGGGGGCGGTGCTCATCCCCATTTCCAAGCCAGGGAGCCAGTGTTTGTCTGAAGACAGTTTCCATGGTCACGTGGCCAGCGCAACTAGACATGAAATGCTGTTACCTTCCCACCAAGGTGGTGCCTATTTATCTGCTTGCATTTTTACATGCTTTCGAACTGCTAGGTTAGCAGAAGCTGGGACAAGCAACGGGAGCTAACTCCGTCACATGGATTGCCTAAATATTTCAGAATCAAAGAACTTCAGGTGCAATCTAAGAAAACTCTCAAACTGTGTGTCCGTCCTCTTCTAGGCAGAGGGAGCACTGAATACATTGTTGTAAGTGTATTTGGTATTAATGCTAGCAGAGTACAGTGGTTTGGTGCTGAATGAATGAATGGCTATTAAACAGGAGTGGTCCCAATAACTGGGATTTCAGTAAAGGTGGAACATGTTATTCTATTGAATAAGGAGATCCAGTAAGAGACAGTGCAGGAGAAAACAAAATCCCTGAATACATTTCCTGAAGCTCTTGCACATAGCTTCTACATAGGGGATATTCTGGAGAAGGGGATTCCGTGCGTGGTTACCACCCTGTCTAACAAAGGGAAATAACAATTAATTGGCCTCCAAAAAGGAGGAGGAAGTAAAGCAGAGCACAAAAACCCAGCTCATAGAGCTTGCCAAAACCTACATTGCAAGCACAACCTACCATACTAGGGTTCTCTAGGTATAAAGTAATTTGGAGTGGTTTACCAGTGCCTTTTTTCTGGAGGTGCTCTGGGATTGTATAGCTTGCCCAAGGCAACAGGTTGACTCCTCTCCCAGAACATACACTGGGGAATTGAACTCCTGACCACAGGTGCTCCTACTCAGAGAACTATTTATTCTGAAGTAACTTCTGCTGAGCTCTTATTTTCACAGAACCCACTACTAATGTTTGTCATGCCAACAGCTTCCCCCATTTCCTAAGATCAGGGAGTGGGCTCTTGTGATGTTACAGGAATTATACCCTGGCAGCAGTTGCAAAGTAATATGCTTTTGTGCGTGTGCATGAGAGTGAGACAGATAATTTTGATTCCTTCATATCCTCTTATGCAAATATGCCCACAGTGCACATATAAACACCTTTGTGCTGAACCACTAAGCCCCAGAGCTAGTTTGGAGTGAAGGAGAGATGGGTGCATAGGCATAACAATAGCAACAACAATCAACTTAGAACTACAGAGCAAGAAGGGACCCTGTAGAATCATTGAATCTAATCCCTGTCAAGGAGGCACAGTGGGGAATCCAACTCCCAACTTCTGGTTCTGCCTAAAGAAGCTTAAACCATTTATTTATTTATTTATTTATT